CACCAAAAATAGAGGGAAATATGCCCCAAAATCCACTCAATTATCACCCAAAATAGAGGGAAATATGCCCAAAAATCCCCAAAATTATCAGCCAAAATAGAGGGAAATATCCCCAAAAATCCCCAAAATTATCACCCAAAATAGAGGGAAATATGCCCAAAAATCCCCTCAATTATCACCCAAAATAGAGGGAAATATGCCCAAAAATCCACTCAATTATCAGCCAAAATAGAGGGAAATATGCCCAAAAATCCACTCAATTATCAGCCAAAACCAGAGTGAAATATCACAAAAAATCCAGTAAAATATCCCCAAAAATCTCCTAAATATGCCCAAAAATCCCCTAAATTATCACCCAAAATAGAGGGAAATATGCCCAAAAATCCCCAAAATTATCACCCAAAATAGAGGGAAACATGCCCAAAAATCCCTTAAATTATCACCAAAAATAGAGGGAAATATGCCCCAAAATCCACTCAATTATCACCCAAAATAGAGGGAAATATGCCCAAAAATCCCCTCAATTATCACCCAAAATAGAGGGAAATATGCCCAAAAATCCCCTCAATTATCACCCAAAATAGAGGGAAATATGCCCAAAAATCCCCTCAATTATCACCCAAAATAGAGGGAAATATGCCCAAAAATCCCCTCAATTATCACCCAAAATAGAGGGAAATATGCCCAAAAATCCCCTCAATTATCACCCAAAATAGAGGGAAATATGCCCAAAAATCCCCTCAATTATCACCCAAAATAGAGGGAAATATCACCAAAAATCCACTCAATTATCACCCAAAACCAGAGTGAAATATCCCCAAAAATCCAGTAAAATATCCCCAAATGTCCCCTAAATTATCCCCAAAAAATAGAGTGAAATATCCCCAAAAATCCCCTAAATTAGAGTAAAATATCCTAAAATTATCCCCCAAAAATAGAGGGAAATATGCCCAAAAATCCCCTAAATTATCACCCAAAATAGAGTGAAATATGCCCAAAAAAATCCAGTAAAATAACCCCAAATGTGCCCTAAATTATCCCCCAAAACCAGAGTGAAATATCCCCCAAAATCCCTAAATTAGAGTAAAATATCCCAAAATTATCCCCCCAAAATAGAGTGAAATATGCCCAAAAATCCCCTAAATTATCAGCCAAAAATAGAGTCAAATATCCCAAAAATACCCCTAAATTATCTCCCAAAAATAGAGGGAAATATGCCCAAAAATCCCTAAATTAAAATATCCCAAAAATCCCCAAAATTATCCCCGAAAAAGAGTAAAATATTCCCCAAAATCCCCTAAATTATCCCCCCAAAACCCAATAAAATATCCCCAAAAATCCCTCAAAACACCCCAAAAACCTTCTCCAAATATCCCCGAAAATCCCCAAAATTCTCTCCCCAACCCCTTTAAATTATCCCCAAAAATCCCCAAAATTATCCCCAAAAATAGTGAAATATCCCCAAAAATATCCTAAATTATCCCCCAAAAATCCAATAAAATATCCCCAAAAATCCCTCAAAACACCCCAAAAACCTTCTCCAAATATCCCCGAAAATCCCCAAAATTCTCTCCCCAACCCCTTTAAATTATCCCCAAAATTATCCCCCAAAAACTCCTAAATTCCAGCAAAACATCCCCAAAGATCCCTTAAATTATTCCCCAGAAATAAACTAAAATATCCCCAAAAATCCCTAAATTAAAATATCCCAAAAATCCCCAAAATTATCCCCAAAAATAGTGAAATATCCCCAAAAATCCCCAAAATTATCCCCCAAAACTCCTAAATTCCAGCAAAACCTCCCCAAAAATCCCTTCAATTATTCCCCCGAAATAAACTGAAATATCCCAAAAAATCCCTGAATTTTAACCCAACCATTCCAGTTTTAACCCCAAAAATTCCCTTTTAACCCAAACATTCCCCTCTAAACCCCAAAATTTCATTTTAATCCTAATTTTTCTCCTTTTGACCCCAAATATTCCATTTTTAAACCCCAAATTTTCCCTTTCTAACCCAATTTTTCCCATTTCCCTACTTTTTAACCCCAAATATTCCAATTTTAACCCCAAATATTCCATTTTTAACCCAAATATTCCATTTTTAAACCACTTATTTACTTTTTAACCCCAAAAATTCTCTTTTTAACCCCAAATTTTTCCTTTTTAACCCCAAAAAATCCCTTTTTAACCCAAATTTTTCCTTTTTAACCCAAATTATTCCTTTTCCAACCCCAAATTTTGCCACGTAAACCCCACTTATTTACTTTTAAGCCCCAAAAATTCCCTTTTTAACCCCAAATATTTCCTTTTCAACCCCCCACGAAGCCCCCAGACCCTTTTTAGCCCAAATTTTTCCCTTTTTAACCCCAAAAATTCCATTTTAAACCCAATATTCCCCTCCTAACCCCCATTATTCCCTTTTTAACCCCCAAAATTTCTCTTTTAACCCAAAAAATTCTCTTTTTAACCCCCTCATGAAGCCCCCAGACCCTTTTTAACTCGATTTTTTTCCCTTTTTAACCCCAAAAATTCCCTTTTTAGCCCCAAAATTTCCCTTTTTCACCCCAAATTTCCTCCTTTTCATCCCAAAATTCCCATTTTAACCCCTACCAAGCCCCCGCTCCCATTTTAACCCAATTTTTTCCCATTTTAACCCCAAAAATTGGGGGGTCCCCAAATTGAGGGGGGGTCCAAAATTGGGGGGGGGACCCAAAATTGACAGGGGGGGTCCCCAAAATTGGGGGTGGGAGCCCTAAAAATGAGGGAGGGGCTTTGAAGTCATGGGGGGGGTCCCCAAATTTCAGGGCTGGTGTCGCCAAAATTTGGGGGGGGCACTAAAATTTGGGGGGGGTCAAATTCTGGGATGCTTTTGGGGGCTTTTTCCCCATTTTTGAGGAGGTTCGGTGATTTTTTCCCCCATTTTTGAGGACATTTCCCCACTTTTAGTGACCTTTTCCCCATTTTTGAGGAGTTTCGGTGATTTTTTCCCCATTTTTGAGGACATTTCCCCATTTTTGAGGACTTTCAGTGATTTTTTCTCCCATTTTCAGTGATTTTTTCCACCTTTCGATGCTTTTTCCCCATTTTTGAGGACTTTGGGGGGGGGGCCAAATTCTGGGATGGCCCCAAAACTTTTGGGGGCTTTTCCCCCATTTTTGAGGAGTTTTGGTGATTTTTTTTTCCCAATTTTTGTGGATTTTTCCCCACTTTTAGTGACTTTTTCCCCATTTTTGAAGAGTTTCGGTGATTTTTTCCCCATTTTTGAGGACATTTCCCCATTTTTGAGGACTTTCAGTGATTTTTTCTCCCATTTTCAGTGATTTTTTCCACCTTTCGATGCTTTTTCCCCATTTTTGAGGACTTTCAGTGATTATTTTCCCCACTTTTGAGGACATTTCCTATTTTTGGTGATGATTTCCCCATTTTTGAGGGTTTCCCATGACTCTCTCCCACTCTCAGTGACTTCTCCTCCATTTTCAGTGATTTTTCCCCCACTTTCAGTGATTTTTCCCCATTTTTTGAGCTTTCCCATGACTCTCTCCCCCGTCAAGAGACATTTTCCCCATTTTTGGTGATTTTCCCCTACTTTCAGTGATTTTCCCCATTTTTGAGGATTTCTCATGAATCTCTCCCCCATTTTGTGTGATTTCCCCATTTTTGAGGACATTTCCCCACTTTTAGTGACCTTTTCCCCATTTTTGAGGAGTTTCGGTGATTTTTTCCCCATTTTTGAGGACATTTCCCCGCTTTTGAGGACTTTCAGTGATTTTTTCCCCTTTTCAGTGATTTTCCCCCATTTTTGAGGACATTTCCCCATTTTTGAGGAATTTTGGTGACTTTTTCCCCATTTTTGAGGACATTTCCCCGCTTTTGAGGACTTTCAGTGATTTTTTCCCCTTTTCAGTGATTTTCCCCCATTTTTGAGGACATTTCCCCATTTTTGAGGAATTTTGGTGACTTTTTCCCCATTTTTGAGGATTTCTCATGAATCTCTCCCCCATTTTGTGTGATTTCCCCCCATTTTGGGTGACTTTTCCCCCATTTTGGGTGATTTTCCCCGTTTTTTGGGCATTTTCCCCCCATTTTGGGTGATTTTGAGGACATTTCCCCACTTTTAGTGACCTTTTCCCCATTTTTGAGGAGTTTCGGTGATTTTTTCCCCATTTTTGAGGACATTTCCCCGCTTTTGAGGACTTTCAGTGATTTTTTCCCCTTTTCAGTGATTTTCCCCCATTTTTGAGGACATTTCCCCATTTTTGAGGAATTTTGGTGACTTTTTCCCCATTTTTGAGGACATTTCCCCGCTTTTGAGGACTTTCAGTGATTTTTTCCCCTTTTCAGTGATTTTCCCCCATTTTTGAGGACATTTCCCCATTTTTGAGGACTTTCAGTGATTATTTTCCCCATTTTTGAGGACATTTCCCCATTTTTAGTGCTGTTTTCCCCATTTTTGAGGGTTTCTCATGACTCTCCCCCACTCTCAGTGACTTTTTTTCCCCATTTTTGGGAATTTTCCATTACTCTTTCTCCTATTTTCAGTGATTTTCCCCCCAGTCTTAGTGATTTCCCCCATTTTCAGTGATTTTTTCCCCCATTTTCAGTGACTTTTCCCCCATTTTGAGGATTTCCCCCCATTTTCACTGATTTTACCCCCATTTTTACTGATTTTACCCCCATTTTCAGTGATTTTTTTCCCCCCTTTTGGGTGATTTTCCCCTTGTTTTTTGGGCCTTTTTCCCCCATTTTCAGTGATTTTCCCCCCATTTTGGGTGATTTTCCCCCCGTTTTGGGCCTTTTTCCCCCATTTTCAGTGATTTTCCCCCATTTTTGAGGATTTTCCCCCAGTTTTTTGGGCATTTTCCCCCATTTTGGGTGACTTTTCCCCCTGTTTTTTGGGCAATTTTCCCCCATTTTGGGTGATTTTCCCCCTGTTTTTTGGGCATTTTCCCCCATTTTGGGTCATTTTCCCCCTGTTTTTTGGGCCTTTTTCCCCCATTTTGGGGGACTTTCCCCCATTTTGGGTGATTTCCCCCAGTTTTGGGGTTTCCCATGGCTCTCCCCCCACCCCCAGTGACATTTGCCCGATTCCGGGCGTTTTTGCCCCGTTTCTGTCTCTCTCAGGGCACGGTGACGCGGAAGGGGCTGTTGGGCACGTGCTGCTCGCCCCACTTCACCACGAGCAGGTGCTCGCCGCGCTCGCGCAGCACGTAGGACACGTTGTAGAGCTGCTGGCCCAGGTGCTTCACCACGATCTCCTCGCAGGGGCTGCGCGGGCCCTGCACGCCCACCAGCAGCATGTTCGTGCCTGCAAACAAAAAAGAAAAATTCTGCATTTTTGGGGATTTTTTTGAGATTTTTTGGGAATTTTTTTGGGGATTTTTGGGGTTTTTTTTGGGATTTTTTTGGAATTTTTTTGGGTTTTTCAGGATTTTTTTGTGGATTTTTTGGGGTTTTTTGGCGATTTTTTTTAAGGTTTTTTAGGATTTTATTTGGATTTTTTGAGGATTTTTTTGATTTTTTTCTTGATTTTTTGGAGATTTTTTAGGATTTTATTTGGATTTTTTCTTTATTTTTGGGGGTTTTTTTTAGAATTTTATTTGGATTTTTTCTTGATTTTTTTGGGGTTTTTTTTAGGATTTTGTTTGGATTTTTTGGGATTTTTTTTTCAATTTTTCTGGATTTTTTGGGATTTTTTTAGGGTTTTTTAGGGATTTTTTTAGGATTTTATTTGGATTTTTTCTTTATTTTTGGGGGTTTTTTTTAGAATTTTATTTGGATTTTTTCTTGATTTTTTTGGGGTTTTTTTTAGGATTTTGTTTGGATTTTTTGGGATTTTTTTTTCAATTTTTCTGGATTTTTTGGGATTTTTTTAGGGTTTTGTAGGGATTTTTTTAGGATTTTATTTGGATTTTTTGGGAATTTTCTTAAAATTTTTCTGGATTTTTTTTGATTTTTTTAGGGTTTTTTAGGGATTTTTTTAGGATTTTATTTGGATTTTTGGGGGGTTTTTTTAGGGTTTTATTTGGATTTTTGGGGGTTTTTTTTGATTTTTCTTGAATTTTTGGGGATTATTTAAGGGTTCACAGGGGCTGCGCGGGCCCTGCACGCCCACCAGCAGCATGTTCGTGCCTGAGGAGAAAACAGAAAAATTCTGCATTTTTGGGGATTTTTTGGGATTTTTTTCCAGGTTTCTTTAGGATTTGATTTGGAATTTTTGGGGATTTTTTGGGATTTTATTTGGAACTTTTTTGGGGCCATCCCAGCTGATTTTGGGCCATTTTGGGCCCACCCCAGCTGATTTTGGGCCATTTTGGGCCCATCCCAGCTGATTTTGGGTGATTTTGGGCCCATCCCAGCTGATTTTGGGCCATTTTTGCCCACCCCAGCTGATTTTGGGTGATTTTGGGCCCATCCCAGCTGATTTTGGGCCATTTTGGCCCCACCCCAGCTGATTTTGGCCCATTTTGGCCCCACCCCAGCTGATTTTGGCCCATTTTGGCCCCACCCCAGCTGATTTTGGGTGATTTTTGCCCACCCCAGCTGATTTTGGCCCATTTTGGCCCCACCCCAGCTGATTTTTGGCCCACCCCAGCTGATTTTTGGGTGTTTTGGGCCCCCCCAGGCGATTCCGGCCCACGCACCGGCCTTGCTGCAGTCCACGCTGAAGGAATTCTTCTGGCCCACGAAGGCCTTGGTGAGCCCCAGGCCTTTGGCCACCACCTTGGAGGCGTCCGAGAATTTGGGGGGTCCCGGGGGGGTTTCCCCCCAAATTCCCAGTACCTGTAGTGCCCCCAGCCCCATAATCTCCCAAATTCTGAGTTTTTCCCCAAAATTCTATTTTTTTCCCCTCACATTCTGTACCTGTGGTGCCTCCCTCCAGGCCGGGCCCGTAGGCCGAGACCAGGCCTGGATCCCTGGCCTGTCTCAGATCCCTCCCAAATTCCCGCTTTTCCCAGAAAATTCTGCCCCTGTTCTACTCTTCTACACTCCCTCACCCCCTAAATTCCCATTTTTTCGCAAAATTCCCAATTTTTCCCCTCACATTCCGTACCTGTGGTGCCTCCCTCCAGGCCGGGCCCGTAGGCCGAGACCAGGCCCGGATCCCTGGCCTGTCTCAGATCCCTCCCAAACTCCCATTTTTTTCTCTAAAATTCCCATTTTTTCCCCCCAAATTCCTGGTATCTCTGGTTCCCCTCCACTTCCTCATCCCCTAAATTCCCATGTTTTCCCAGAATTCCCAATTTTTTCCCTCAAAATTCCGTACTTGCGGTGCTGCCCTCCAGGTCGGGCCTGTAGGCTGAGACCAGGCCTGGACTCCTGGCCTGTTCCAGATCCCTCCCAAATTCCCGTTTTTTCCAGAAAATTCTGCCCCTATTCTGTCCCCTCCACTCCCTCATCCCCTAAATTCCCATTTTTTCCCAAAATTCCCAATTTTTCCCCTCAAATTCCATACCTGTGGTGCCGCCCTCCAGGCCAGTCCTGTAGGCCAAGACCAGGCCTGGATTCCCAGCCTGTCTCAGATCCCTCCAAAATTCCCATTTTTTACCAAAAATTTCGGGTACCTCTGGTGCTTGCCCACTCCCTCATCCCCTAAATTCCCATTTTTCCCCAAAATTTCCAATTTTTCCCCTCACATTCCGTACCTGTGGTGCCGCCCTCCAGGCCGGGCCCGTAGGCCGAGACCAGGCCCGGATCCCCGGCCTGGCCTGGCTCCCCCACCCGGACCTTGAAGGGGCTCCCGGGGATGTGGGAGCCCTCGAACTTCACGTCGATGGAGTAGACGCCGTTCTCCCGCGGGATGAAGCGCACGGCGTATTTGTCTGGGGAAATGGATCCCAAAATTAAACCTGAGATCCCAAAATTATCCCTGAAACTCCGGAGATCCCAAATTCCTGTGGGCGTATTTGTCTGGGGAAATGGACCCCAAAATTAAACCTGAGATCCCAAAATTATCCCTGAACCCCCAAAATTATCCCTGAAACTCCAGAGATCTCAAATTCCTGTGGGCGTATTTGTCTGGGGAAAAGAGATCCCAAAATTAAACCTGAGATCCCAAAATTATCCCCAAACCCCCAAAATTATCCCTGAAACTCCAAAGATCTCAAATTCCTGTGGGTGTATTTGTCTGGGGAAATGGACCCCAAAATTATCCCTGAACCCCCAAAATTATCCCTGAACCCCATTTTTGTGGGAATGGGGCAGATTTTGGGGTGGGATTTGCAGATTTTGGGGTGAAATTTGCTGATTTTGGGGAGGAATTTGCCGATTTTAAGCTGTAATGTGCTGATTTTTGTAGGAATATCCCATTTTTTGGGGAATTTGTGGGGTCCCAGCCCAGGTTTTGGGGTGTCCCTCACCTGGGGTGACCTCGGAGATGTGGCACTCCTCCAGGGGTGGGAACAGGGCAGGATTTTATGGGAATGGAGCAGATTTTGGGCTGGAATTTGCCGATTTTGGGCTGGAATTTGTGAATTTTTGTAGGAATATCCCATTTTTTTGGGGTTTTTTTGGGTCCTGGCGCCGTTTTCGGGGCGGCCCTCACCTGGGGTGACCTCGGAGATGTGGCACTCCTCCAGGGGTGGGCATGGGGTGGATTTTGGGGCAGAATTTGCCGATTTTGGGCTGGAATTTGCCGATTTTAAGGTGGAATTTGCCATTTTTTGTAGGAATATCCCATTTTTTGGGGGATTTTTGGGGTCCCAGCCCACATTTTGGGGCGTTCCTCACCTGGGGTGATCTCAGAGATGTGGCACCACCCAGAGCCACCACAGATGGAGCATTTTGGGCTGGAATTTGCCGATTTTGGGCTGGAATTTGCCGATTTTGGGCTGGAATTTGTGAATTTTTGTAGGAATATCCCATTTTTTGGGGTTTTTTTGGGTCCTAGCGCCGTTTTCGGGGCGCCCCTCACCTGGGGTGACCTCGGAGATGTGGCACTCCTCCAGGGGTGGGCATGGGGTGGATTTTGGGCTGGAATTTGCCGATTTTGGGGCGGAATTTGCCGATTTTAAGGTGAAATTTGCCGATTTTTGTAGGAATATCCCATTTTTTTGGGGTTTTTTGGGTCCTGGCGCCGTTTTCGGGGCGCCCCTCACCTGGGGTGACCTCGGAGATGTGGCACTCCTCCAGGGGTGGGAATGGGGTGGATTTTGGGCTGCAATTAGCTGATTTTGGGCTGGAATTTCCCGATTTTTGTAGGAATGTCCCATTTTTGGGGGGATTTTTGGGGTCCCAGCCCACATT